CATAGCAAATTAGAACATATTCTTTCTGTGTTATAGTTTTGTTTTAATTGTGACTCGGCTTTGTATATTAGTATTGAGCTCCATGGTTGCCATGGTAATCAATGCTAGTTTTTTCCTTGTGCGAGAGAACTGCTGGGTTTTCGGTCGGGTGGTATTATTTATCTGTTGTCTCATCAACTTCATATAAGTATCTAGTATCCTATATACTTATGTGGGAAAACTTCATACAAATTACATTCTAAATTCTTTATCTGGGTCGTACTTAGCAGATATCGAGATAGTGTGACACAGGCCCTTGTAGAGGTCTCAAGTTTTAGTTAATACAGCAGTTGATTTTATTAACAACATCAACATCACGCCTTTTGTCCCCGAATGGGTAGGCAGAGGTGCACATTACGGCACTTAATCCCACTGTAGTCACTGTACAATGTAACCCACTTTTCGCTATTTAATATTTATGTTATGAGTCCCATGTAATAAGGGGTGAGTCTATTGCTATATACCGGGCATAATTCCAGACTCCGTGTTACCACTGAGAATGTTTTTTAAAACCCAATAATACTTTGTCTGGCCCGGGAATCGAACCCCAGACCCCTTGCCGTTCGCACTTGCAACCACTCGGCCAACGAGGCAGTTGATTTTTAAATATTTTCGAAAGTAAAACATGTTTGGTGTAACAACAACTTGCATAGAACTCATAAAATAAACAATATTGGTAACTGACGATACATTATTAAACAACGTTTCAGAACAGTTCCAGTTAGTCTTATATCAACCATACTACTCATACTAGTTATACCCGCGCGACCACTCGTTGCTCGGCTCCTATTGATCTTAGTTTGATGTTTTATAGCCTATTATAACCTTCCTCGACATGGACGATTCAACACAAAAATAATAGAATCAGAATCATTTATTTGATAAACCCAAGTAATTTACATAATAAGGTCTATACATATATGTCTATAGTTTACTTAAGCCTTTGATTGTCGACAGAAAACTGTTGAAGGTAAATCCTCCGCTAACATAGGACACCGGTGACCTACGTAGCGGTTAACGTGTTAATAATTACTCAATTTGAACCAGTAACTCGGAGATTAGCGCATTCAAAACACGCTTCGTCAGCTACATACATATACTACTGTAGTTTGTCCTTACCAATCAAGAAACCACCTACAACTACCAATATTTAAACATGAAAATGGTCAATTCCACAAACATTGGTGTGTCGTGTCGTATAAAAACATTGATTACTACGTTACATCTCTAACAAAGTAGACGAACACCTGAGATGAGTTGATTGAATGAAAACAAACGAAATGTATTAACTGAAAGCGTGGGACATAAAATTCGACCCTTCTTAAGGGCGATACGGTCTTCTGTCTAAAAACGAAAATTTTTTTTTTTTTTAGTGCAACACTTTTCTGAAGTGTTTTGATATGACTTCGCCCGAGTATGTTCAAAATGCCTTCTAACTCGGGCCTGCGGACGGCGAGCATGGGTGGCTCCCTGTCCGACCAGAAACAGAATCAGGGGTGGTTTTTAGTCAGCAAGAGTCTGACTCTCCCTCCCGCCTCACCCAGGCGGGAGAAGTCATTCGATGATTTTCCCCCTTAAAAAAAGCCTTCTAACTACCCCCAGCCATTGACTTCCGCATACCTAATACCCTAGCCCCAAAATTCATTCATTGGTCTCTATCTGTGCTATGATTCTGATGACCTTAAGTTTTTTGATGTCCATATTCTTTGTCCCACTGCAGGGCAAATGCCTTTCTATTCTCCTTCCACTCGTCTTTTCTTATAGCTTTCTTTTAACCAATTCTTTTCATAAGCATCAAGTGGGACCATGGCTTAAATAAATAAATAATAAATACAGAAACATAACATGAATGGCGAAAAGTAAGTTATGGAGTGTTTAAAAAAAGAAAATTTAATCTCAATAGGTTAAGAAATCTCACGAGTCGGAGCTTGAACTAGGGACCTTTCGATTCTACCAACATAAAATGCGGCTTGGTAAATATTAGTTTAAAATAAATGGGGGTCGCTAGTACCGTACCTGTGGCAATGTGGTACACTGTGGTTCAACTTGTTTTGATATTTCATATTTTTATCGATTTTAAAAAGAGGAGATGCTATATCCGGATGATTTTTTATTCATGGAATCATGGAATATGTTCCAAAATGGCTTATTCAGTCCAAATCAATATTCCCTAGATCCAGCTGTAACCGCTTCAAATCCTTTTTTGGCAAGCTATACTTTTTATTAGACATTACTTTGAGGCGGAAGTATAACCCACCCCTTAACTCTATTTTCCTTTCTTTTTAATTCATTCCGTTGGACAAGCTACCCACATATGTCTCAAGATCTACGTCTACATGCTATCCTTTAAAAGGTATAAGCAGGTTTAAAGGTCATGCTCGATTGAATTAATAAAATTAATCCATTAGCATATTGTCTGTTTTAAGATACATACATTATTGTTTGTTAGTAGTGGTAATAGTAAACTCTAAGGTTAATTTTAAGTGTGAGAAAGCCATGCTTTAGCACGAATGGGCCGGCTCCACCGGTGTGATACCACGGCCAAGCAGAAAAACGCTTGTGTTGAATTTCGAATGGGTAAGGTTACCAGAAACCCAATGTCCATGGGCAACGCCGATTGCTTACCATCAAGTGATCTGTCTGCATGCAAGTCTATAGGCATATCCCATAAAAAAATAAGTTATACATTGCGTGGTTGAGTTAATTGTAGTGTGTTGTTAAGACTTTGAAGTTTGAACTCCTTAGTTCTTCCTTTAGAGTTAGATTAACCGCTTGTTTAATGCAGATATGTCTGTGTCAAATGTCCTATTCCATCGATGTGATTAGTCTCATCAAGTATTATTTGCCACTGAACCTGTTTAAGGCAATAGGATCATGTTATTATCCGAATACAACTGATTTCTATTAATAAAGACCTGCCTACTAGTTCGAGAATAAGATGTAATATATTTAATTGATATGAAACTATATCTAATACATCCAATCAAAGACATTTTCAGTCATTCAATGAATCGTCTCCGAACCATCCCTGAGCATACATAGACGTTCGTACAAGTTTCTATGAAATATTAATGTGCTACAAGGGTTCGACAAATATATAATTAGCCCTGAGTAAATAATGCTAAATAAGTACGTATTGTATTATTATCATGTTTGGCTCAATTAACTTTGCAAATGTGTTTAATGAACTGGCTCTTTGCTGTGGTTTTATTTTTTCGCCTAGGGGATACCTAAGTCTAACGTTTTCTCTTTCTGTCACTAAAACCACCCTAATTGTCACCATCAGTACACACAAGAGGACCCTCGTGTCCTCTAAATAGATCAACTTCTGAAAAATAAGTGCCTTCTATCTTTGAACTTCACTTCCACAAACTGTAAAGTCATATCATGGCTTAGGGCTTAGTAAAAATGTATTAGGAACAACAGATTATTGTTGCCCCTAGCGTAGGTCGGTCCGCAAAGCAAAGTTTAATATAAACGCGCTGCATTCAGCCTGTCAATAAGCTGGCATTGTACGCCATTGGAGTGACGACGTAATGCCAATGTTATAGGGAAACTTTGTAATAAACTGCTCCACTGCGTTTCCTACCTCTGTCCATAGTTTCTCGAACGCCATCTTGTTTTTCCGCGTTCTAACCTCTTTTGTGTTGAAAATGGCGGGAATTTGCGTTTTGTTATTTATTTTTGAAGATTAGTTTGATTTGTTATAAATATTTGATAGAAAAGTAATTTATTGGTGATGAGTGGGTGTGGTATTACTTTTTGTTTAACCTGGTTAGGAAGACACGTGTTCTGTAATAAGTAGAAGTCCACCTAAAAGTCATTATCAAAAATACCTTTGCGATAAGAAGAATCCAAACTTTAGACTTTTAAACATGTTTTTATCGTGTTTATTTTGCCTATTATACTATAGTTTTTAGTTAGTATGACTAAGTCCCCACGATTATAATATGTACGTCACGTTTATGATCACTACACCATAGAGACGTTGAAATTACGTCTAATCGTCATACAGCCATGACGCCTGTTATAACTCCTTGACATTATGTTATAGTAAAATGGACATCAATTACATCCTACTATAGACTATAATATTTTACTGTAGAAACATATTATGTAAATGTAAAAATGTTGTGTCTGTCAGTTTATTTGTGGAAGTTGTAAACCAAGTGTTTATTTTTAACCGACTTAAAAAAAGGAGGATTTTCTCAATTCGACCGTATATATCCTTTTTTATAATAACTATCATGAGACATACTAAATTAACTAAAATCCAGTAGGCTGTGCGACATCGCCGCGATAGCACACGCTGCTCATGAGTAAGAACCCCACTGTGTTCCGAAACTAGTAGAGCTTTTTTCAGTATATTCACGTGAGTAACCCGCGATTTCTAGTTAATCAAATGTTTATTACTGTCATCGTTATGTTCTAGTACATTCGGAGTGGTTTTCGAACGGTACCTGGAGTTTAGAAGAATAGTACTTTGTTCTCTTTGTATGATATTTTTTTCTATTTAATGACGTATATAATACCATCGTACACGAATTAGTGAAAAAAATTGGTTATGGCTATTAATTCTATAGATATCTATTCATTTTTTTTTAATTGGTTTTGAATTATCACCATGATCCTTTTTAAACATCGCTTTATGAATTATGATAACTAATTCACGAGCTAAAATACGTTTTAGTGTACCTACGTCCTACTTAACCCAACTAATATTATCTACATATGCGAAAATAAATTAATTTATTTCTTACCTTTTTGAATTCTTACGTAAATATAGTACATAGACTAAATTGACATGAGTAAAACCGAGGTAAGAGCTGGTAGTATTACCACCCCATTCGAAACATGTAAAAGCAAATTGTGCGAACTAACACCCCATACTACCCCTACGTATGATGTAGAATATCATACAGAAGTGATTCCCATGTTAATTCTATAATGTTTTGTTACAGTTCCGGGCGATTACACACCATGGTGAGTTGCGATTCATTTGGTTCGTCTCAATGTCAAAGCATTTTGCTAAGGTTACTGCCTTACTGGTCGGGTTCTAAAGTTCGTGGGTGGAGACGATAAAATGGTCCCTTTCGTTGTAAATAATAAGATAGCTGTAGAAAGATTGTTGTTCTTATACGTGAAAAAGTGTACCGAAGTTGACTGCCTTGTTGGCCGAGTGGTCGCAAGTGCGACTGCTGGGCAAGGAGTCTCGGGTTCGACTCCCGGGTTGGGTAAAGTATTTTAAAAATTCTCAGTAGTAGCACGGAGTCTGGAATTGTGCCCGGTATGTGGCAATAGGCTCACCCCCTATTACATGGGACTCATAACATAAATAGTGAAAAGTGGGTGTTACATTGTACAGTGGCATTAAATGCCGTAATGTACACCTCTGCCTGCCGCTTCGTGGATAAAAGGCGTTATGTTACGATGATGATGTACCGAAATTTTCATTCTATAGTTTTAAGAGTTTAATAAACACGCTACAATATACTTTTCTACTGTCTTATACACGATGTCCCCTATTCTGATGGAATGCGGATCTATTCAAGAAACAATATTTACATGTTTTACTAGCTTCTGCGGGCGACTTCGTACGCGCAATACCGAAAAAAATTTAGGGGTGGACTACCCCTAACATTTAAGGGGATGAAAAATAGATGTTGGCCGATTCTCATAGATACCGGATAAGCACAAAAAATTTAATCAAAATCGGTCAAGCCGTTTCGGAGGAGTTTGGCAACGAAACTGTGACACGAGAATTTTATATATTAGATTGCTTATTATATCTCATATGATGTGAATAAAATAATAAACTGCCTTCACAACTTGCATTAGTGTAATTTTACTGCTCAAGAAATTATATTTTTTGGTAATAATAATATTTGCTTTAGAAATTCAAGTTCTGTTCGGACGGCGACTGTCCGTTGTGGGCGTTGGCGGCGCTGCACGCCCTCTCCAGCCTACCAGCCGCCCTGTTCCGGACTCTGCTACAACATGTTATGGAGGAACAACCTGTAAGTACAATAATTACTTGATGTTATAAGACGAAGAAATCGAGTCATAGTAAGCACGACTGCCTAGTAAGGAATATTGTGTTTGATTTAACCCTTTGGGTACCGTCGTTATAGACACAATTGAATAAGAATATGTTGCGGTCACCGGTATCCTCGCGGTGTTTGACAGTTTAAGGGTTGGGCAAAATGTTATAGAGGTTTCTTCGGTTTTTCATAGTAGCACAAAGACTAGAATTATGTCCGGTTTATGCCAAAAAGCACCCTATTGCTGTATTGCATAGGACTTGCAATATAACTAGTTAAAAGTGGTCAACGTCGTATAGTATTTACACCTCTGTACATGTACACTCTCTGTCTCCCTTCGCGGATTGTACACCTAATTGTGTAGGTAACGTTACAGTCAGTAGTAGCATGGAGTCCAGAATTTGGCCCGATATATGTCAATAGTCTCACCACCTATTTTATTGTTCCTTTATTTATTGTTATTCCTTTATTTATTATTACATGGGACTTATAAATAGAGAAAAGTGGGTGTTACATTGTAAATGGCATTAAGTGCCGTAATATACACTTACCTACCCCTTCGGCGATGTCGCGGAGAACCTAACGGGTAACCGGGGCTCCAGCTCGACGTACAGGAGAAGGAACGGGGTGGTTTTTAGTCAGTAAGAGTCTGACACTCCCTCCCGCCTCACCCAGGCGGGAGCAGTCATTCGATGATTTTCCCCCCTTAAAAAAAACCCCTTCGGCTATAAAAGGCGTGTTGGTATATGTGTAACGTTACATACAATGTTTCGCTATAGGCATTAAAAATATATAGTAATAAAATAATAACCTCTTGCATCGCCTAAATATAAATAGATCAAGCTTGACTGCTTGATGTATAGACAGGCGTTCGTCACGTATCATCGCACGTGCCCTGTATTCAATACGTTTTGTAAACTCAATTCCATCGTTTTATCATAACATTTTATTTTGTTATCAATATTTTATTTGTGTACCTATAGACTGCTTTGTAGGCAGTTCGACGAGTTAGAGAATTTCACGAGACTTAGCTTAGATTCTCGGAGGGCGAAGAAAGAACACTCTGGAATTGTGCAGAGTTTCACCCACTTTTCCTCTCTCTGCCCTCTATTACAAAATATTCACAATTAAACTGGTTAAAAACGAATGTTCCACTATTTCACATCTTCATATCAATTAATTTAATAATTTCTTTTGATATGGCTGAAAATTTTATGAAAAACTGTTCTTAAATAAATCCTGTTGTGACAAGCACATCTCATCAATCGTCCGTTCTAGCATTTCCGTTGTATAATACTAGTGAGTATAAAACTAAGCGAATCGTGTATGTACCTATTAAAAATGGAGCTTATAAAATGGGACTTTAATATCAATTTCATTTGCGTTTAAAAGAGAAGTTGTCACAGTACTAGCTTCCGAGCAATGCATTACTTCTAAACAAGCTTTAATTACGACATGTTGCATCGCCTAAAAGATTACACATTTGATAGGGACCGGGCAGTATAAACTCTGTGATGAACCTAAAAATTTTGAACTGCGATCTTCAGCTTGTCTTGTGTAGAAAAGGCTCATTGTTCAGCCTGTTCCTGTTACAGACTTTTGGCTAGAAGTTGAGTAACTTCTTCGCTAAGTAGTCGATACTAGTTAGTTACGTCGTTTCTAATAAATGAATGAGTGCACGCTACTGAAGTATGTTAGGAAATATATAATATTACAAGTATTTAGACAACTTAGGAAAACGCAACTTTGACGTTGATTTACGAGTTTTTAAACTTACTTGCGTACCTCAGTGAAAAAGTTCACGTACTAGTTAACTCTTTCAATGTAATATGTTTGGTAGTATGATTTTGCTCCACTACATACCTAGTATAAAACAAAGTCGCTATCCGCTGTCTGTCAGTCCCTATGTATGCTTAGATCTTTAAAACTACGCAACGGATTTTGAAGCGGTGTTTTTAATAGATAGAGATTGTCAAACACCAAGCGGTCACCGGTGATCGCAACCTATTGTTCTATAATTGTGTCTATAATGACGGTAGGTACTCAACGAGTGTTGTGTGAGTTGTGTTTAAGGTTCATATTATTATATGTGTAATACACGCATATTGCACCCGTTCGAAGCTGGTGCTAGTATCTAGGTTATTGAATAAAGTTTGTGATTTTTTTAACTTCATACTAAAATGAGGTGCAGATGATGATGATAAAGACTCTTTCATCATCAGTTTAATCATGTCTGGCCTAACCCGTATGGGTGACAGGCGAATTTTAATGTACCAGGAGAATTAACAGGCTAAACTTGAACCTAAAATCGCATACATCTTACCTACTTATCCACAAAATATAAACTTACGACTAATCGAATAAAATCTGTAAATGATATTACATACATACATACATACCGTGTTTCGCCCACACATGCTTACCAAATTGCAGGCTGACTTATCCTAATTATTTTCGTCTGAGTAAAACAAAAGGGGCGTCGTAATAAAGGCACAGTTATGTCACTGACGTGTCTTTATGGACCAGCAAACATCACCTACTTTTACTCACCTCCACGTTCTGGCCACTCTTGTAATTTAAGTCCATTTTCCTCGTGTTTCTATGTCGAGAATATTATGATTGTAAACTAATTATCTAGGTACATTGGTAATTATTTTTAGAAAATGAATTAACCATGCTATGTAGTATGTAATATTTGAATTAATCAGCCCGTTTCCACTTCTAGAAATAGGTATCTCCAATAACACAGGGTGGAAGGAGGGTGAGGACGCCTTTGCCTTGCAGTGGGACAATAATAGCTAAAAAAAAATTAATTAAAAAATATCACGCCCCCTAAGCTCCATTTTCAACCCTTGAAACTGACTCATAACGATGATTCAAATATTATATTTAATAGTCTAATTATTCAATGATTTGTAATGAACGGTGTTACTACCATAACAAAAGACAATGGTTCGTACACGAGCATAAAGACGTATAGGTACCGAAGTATAACTACCCAACTGACCAAATACAAAATGGCATCTGTTTTCTAATGTTTCCTGAGAAAAATAACATTAGGCGGGGTTCCTTTGTCAATTTGTTGTGTTATACTGGTTGATGGTCTCGCCCACTGTGCCTTTGACTCCGAGCTAAGATAATTGAGTCGGCGTATGTAGCACTTCATGTGTTATTTGACCTTTTTAGTGGTAATGTGTTATTTGCATTTATTCAGGAAAGTTGTTTAAGAATAATGGTGTTATTATGATTGTGTAAGTAGTGAATATTATGTGGTTATAACTGAGCATTCTCTAATTCTTCACATTTCTAATAGGTATTACATACCCAAACAAAAAGATTTGAGAATAAAATTCTATCAAAATTAGGTTAAAAAACACTCCTTAAAAAGTAGAATTAGGTCGATAAGAAATTAATGTATTGTTTCTTTCACAGGATGACGGCATCATGGAAATCCTGAAAGACACGAGTTTATGTAAGTTGACCATATCCTTTTCGGAGTACCTACCTCCTCCTTCTTGGAGGTCGGTTATTAAAATGGTGTTGTTGTGGTCACAAACAAGACTCCGGTTCGACTTCCTTAACACGTTAAACGCCATGGGGGTCACCGGTGACCGGCGTTAGCGGAGGATTTATCTTCAACAGTTTATTATTGGCAGTCAAAGTCTTAAAAAAAATCTTTTGGATATCTTCCATTTTCTAAAATTCTCAGTGATCTTACGGTCTCAGTTGTTCAGTGTTCTTTTAATTCTCTCTCTGCGTAAAATGAATATTGAAATATTTTCCCCTCTATCTCTGAGGTTTTTAAACCTAGCTAATAATATTTATCACTTTCCTACAGCATCCCGCGACGAGTGTGCCCGTGCCGCGGCTGTCATCCGATGGGTTGTGCAGCAGTCCTGTGCTTGTGCATGCACCGGTGCACAGCTCACTCGTGACTTGCTCGTGCTGGGTGTACCTCGGACTCATGCCAGCGCACTAGCCGATGCAGTGGACAACTACAGGCCGGAGCATGTGGCGCATGTTGAGGCTAATGGTTTCATGAGTAAGTTGACAATAACTTTATTCTTCTGATGTCATTAAGTTTTCTTCTTTTTGTCTTTGTCCGTAATCTTCTTAGTTTAGCACATGCAAAACATGTCTTCTTCTCCATTCTCCCCTATCACACGTCATCTTACCATAAACTCCTTTAATTTTTTGTTTATTATTCTATACTTACCTACACA